TATTGTAAAATGATTTTTTTATATGTTGCACACCGGGTGAAGAATCAGTCGTGTAACATCGACGGTTCCTCCTGTTTCAAAAATATCGATTTACCAAGGTTGGCCAATTAGAATGCGCGATTTGTGTAACACGAGATGACGTAACATGGTTTTCTGTTTGTTGATAGTTCAGTTGTCCGGCCCACACTTAATTTTGCCAAAATGTAATTTTTACACCGCATTAAAAAATTGCAAAAATATATGATTTGGCCTAAAAACATAAATCGATATTTTTCACTGTCCCTGATGTACACATACTACGTATGAACTCATACAGGGGGATCATGATCTGCAGGGCCGGGCCATGACTTCATTAGCAAAATTAGTATTAGTTAACGTTAATTCCACTATCGGAGAACTATAGAATTGATTAATAACACAGATACTCCGATATGTGAATAATTAGTAGAACCAATCATAAGTGATGGGGGAAATTAGTAAATTCGGAAATTTGATCCCCCTGTAAAAAATCTATGTATTGGCACTGTTTATTTCTAAATATACAAAAAATATATAGTGATAATAATTCTAAATTTTCATATATTTAACGTTAACGTTAAAAAGACGGCAATGGATTTTATAATATAGTTTCACAATATGCTGATGATGGAACTTTACGAGAATACTTGAAGATAAAATTCAATCGACTTCAATGGATAGATAAATTACGTACTGCTAAGGAAATAGCACTCGGGCTTTTATTCTTACATGATCATAATATTATTCATAGAGACCTTGTAAGTATCATATATTCGCTTAATTTATATTTATTATACGACCGACTAATCAACTAATATTCTAACAATTTAGCATTCAAAGAATATCTTAATTCATCAAGGTCAACCAAAAATTGCGGATTTTGGATTGTCAAAGCAAATAAATGAAACATCTACGACATCGAGCTCAAACATTCATGGGATGCCAGCGTATATAGAGCCTAAATGCTTCAACGATCCCAAATATAATCGTGATAAGAAATCTGATATCTATAGTTTTGGTGTAATCCTCTGGGAAATTTCAAGCGGAAGACCACCATTCGAAAAGCTTAAATCAAGTGATTATTCAGTTGTTATTCACATATTTCAAGGAAATAGAGAAGTACCCATAGAAGGTACACCACCTCAATATATTGAACTTTACCTACACTGTTGGGACCATGAGCCTACCAATCGTCCAGAAATAAATCTAGTTTTCGATACTTTAAAAAACTTATTGGATAAAGGAATACATACTCACCAACTTGAACATTCCAGTTCCATGGTTTTCTTATAATATCCGGGCCCTTTTTTCTGCATGATTCGAGACCTGATTAAATTTGAAGGCTTCTTTACAATTCTGTCGATAAGAGCTTCAACGTTGACAGAATATCAACATTTTATAATTATAAAACTTGTATTCCCATAGTTGAATATAGTAATGATAGTTGGAAATTGCAATATTATTTTAGGCCTACAATTTATAAATCATAATAAGGATCTTATTCCCCGGTTCTTATCATTATTTCTGTATTTATAATTGTCATACTATTTTTTCACGTTTATTGCCCGGATTTCTTATATATACGTCATTGTTAATTAAAAAAAAAGTATGGATATGTAATAAGAACCCGTGAATAGATCAGTTATTGTGGACAATAACATACATATATATGGTGATTAAAGTGTCAATTTTAATTCCTAATGATTTTGCCAGTGGGTAAAGAGATAAGAATTCAAAGATATAAATACAGTTTAAATAGATTCATATTATATTTTCTTAATACTTTTATAAACAAGTATATAAAATCTATAAAATCTAAACTGACTTTTCATATAAAATCAGTATCAACTTGTTTTCTTTTTTACACAAGTAAACATTAAATTATAAAAAATTATATAGTAATAAATAATATAAATAAAGACAAATAATCTTTCAACAAAAAGGTTTTATAAAATTTTCAAATCATTTGCTTATTTGCAGTGATTTCTTCCTTTTTCATTGCAGCTAATTTCATTTTCTCAACGACACCATCAAAACCAATCTGTGCACATTTTCTACCTGCCAACTCACAAGAAAATCTTAGACAACTTTCCGGAGGCATTCCCTGCGACAAGCTATATATAGCACCAGCATTAAATGTGTCACCAGCACCCACACTATCAACTACGCTTGGTATTGCTAAAGCCGGCGCCGAGAATAATTTTTTAGTTGGATTATGAAAACACATTGCACCAGCTGAACCCCAAGTACAAAATAGAATGGCACTATATTACATTATATAAAAACGAAAAAGAGGTAAAAAGTCTTAAAATCTAAATATAAAAAATTACCCAAATAACATAAATAAATAAACATACGTGTTTTTACAATAAGGACTCATAATTTGTAAAAATTCATCAGCATGATCATATCCTTTACCTTCAGCAAAAACTTTGGAAAAAAATAAAACATCTGCTTTATCAATTAAAGCTTCCAATCCTCTTCTAAAAGGTTTTTCAAATTCAACACTTATAATAGTATTATTTCTCCAATCTTTGGTATCAATATATTCAATCATTTTTGCTTCCTCAGCAGCATTACGTCCTTCAAAATGAATCCAATTAAAAGGTATAGAAGAATTATCTCTCATACAAGTATCATCGAATATTTTTTGGAATTCATCAAAAGTCAATTCATCTATGCTGATCAAAGATAAAAAAAAATAAAAAATTTGAAATTGAAGATATGCAAGGATTATAGATAATATTAGCAGAATTACCTGTTATAATTTATAATAGTCCTTGAACCTGTATTATCAGCGTGAATAATATACGCAACTGGAGCATGCGATGCACTAGGTCTAAATATACATGTTGTAGTCTTTATATTTCGTGCTTCAAAGTCTTGAATTAAAAATCTATGATAAATAAAATAATATATATATATATATATATATTATAAAGATAAATTCAAATACACGTAAATTTTACTAGGAAACGGTTGATAAATAGTCAATTACTTTTAAATCGACCGATAACTTTTAGGATCCGTGTCATTTCACTGACAATTAATTCCCTGACAAGTTAATTTCACCGACAACTATTTCATTGACAAGTTTTTTTTTAAAATGACTGTCGAGGAAATGACCGGGACCTTAAATTTTACTAGATCTGTAAAATATAAACACTTACGTAGAAGCTTCTTTAGAAGCCATAGAAGCCATAAACCAAGCGTCTACGTTTGTAAATTGAGACAAAACGGTAAGAGTATTCCCTGAATTACCGCCTCTTCTTTTTTCAACTCTTTGAGCCCTTTGTTTACCATCTTCTGGAGGGAATTTGTCTACGTAAAGTATCGTATCTTCGTAAGCCGATCCTATCGCGAGTATTTTTAGAGGTATTTGTTGGTCGGTTGATGGTGTTATAGAATTTTTTGTCGCAGAATTATTACTTGTTGATTGTTCTGGTTCTGACATAATATTATTTAACAACTAATGGCCTAAATATGACAAACTTTTGGTTGCGAGAATAAAGAGCACTCCAAAATCGACTCAATCTGCATTTCATGCAGATTTGTTTTTGTTTCGATAATTCGTGCAACATAATGCTAACGATAGTTTATGAAAATTTAGTAACAGTTAACAATCCCAAAGACCGGATAAATTTAATTTTTTTTTTTTTTAGTCAATAATATAAAAGTAGTGTAATAGAAATTTCTAATTTATATATATTATTTATTACATATCGACGCCCCATATTCGCTCTAAAAATCAATTACACCAATTGTTTTAACAATTAATGCCGTTTAACATTAGCTACTTGTTTCATTTGAAGGATAAACGATCTTCTAAAGCTATATTAATTCGACTTCTATCCTTTCTTGTTTTTATTTTTTTTCACTGTTTTTAATAAACAAAAATATATAATAATTTATACAAAATTCTCTGTCTCGGGCAATAATAATAAATATAATAATAATAAATATAATAAAATAAATATAATAATCATACGTAATGCATTGTAATATTATCAACACATTCACATTTCTTTTATTACTGATTATGTTATCAACCACTATAACAGCATACAATGTAGAATCAGAAAAAATAATAAAACGTAGCGAACGCGTAGAAAATGTTATTCTAGGACTGAATAAGAGACAACAATCAAACGCAAAATCACAATCGTTGGCTGCTTCTGTTGCTGCTCCTGTCTCTACTCCTGTTTCTGCTGCTGCTTCTCCTGTTTCACCAATACCGACTACCGCTAGAGCTACGGCAACTATTCAGACAGCTGCAAGTTCAACTCCCGTTGCAAGTTCTACACCAGTTGCTATTCCAACTACAACTAATAGTCCAAAAATTTCAGACACACAACCTTTGGCACCATCAACAGTTATAGACAATGTAGGAGCTCCACGAACGAATGCAGATATTCCGACAACGCTTCCTGATTTTCCTAATTCCGGAAATCGTGTTAAATATGTAACAAGATGGAGAGTTTGGTATAGTTGTATTATGACCTTGTCAATTCTATATATTTTTAAGCATTAAATATCCGCAGAATACAGGAATATGGTGCATGACTTGATATACATTGTATTCCTATTTTATAACGATAATATACGTATAGTTGTTTTTTTTTTAAACATATAACCTGTAAGATTCTTAGAGTTAATATTAAAATTACGTATCTTTGGACAATTGGTATAATAAATGTATTTTGGTTTTAAATTAGAGAAATTGTGCCTTTAAATATAAGATGTATCGTTTATTTTTATTCCTATAAAAAAAAATCACGATGATATGTAATCACAATTTAAAGATCATTTATTACGTAATCCAAAAACCATGTAAGGATAATTTAATTGCACTGGGATATTCAAGCCCGGTCAATTGTGGAAGACAAATTATTTAAAATAAACTTCCAATTGTCATTGAACTTACCTACCAAATTCTTTTAATTCCAACTTAATCGGCCTTTGCAGTACGATGTTGGTTTAATTCCGGACAATACCCGGTGAAGAAACTTGTAAACGTTTATCAGAATTTAAGAATTCTGAAAGGGTATCGGTGAAGATATTTTGTTTGAAGACGGTGAGGATTAATTATAATTTTAAATTTAAAAAAAATATGTACCTTGTGATCATCGTTGCCAAAATTATGAAACAGGAATTACATAATTCGATTTAAATCATGGTTTTTACCATCACTAATTATCTGTTGTTTACGAATTCAATGGTTACAATGTCAGCATTCCGTTTTTCAATTTCTGTCGATTATAAGTTGACCAGACTGGAGTAAATTCTTATCAATAATCATGTATTTTTAAAAAAATTTATTAAATTTTAAGTTTTGGACATTTTTAATTTGCGCCACTGGTTAATTATAACCAGATGACTATGAATAATCACTGGTTATAGTTAACCAGGTGACTGTTAATAGTTACTGGTTATAGTTAACCAGTGCTTATTATTAACCAATAATAAATATTATCTGATTTATACTA